CACACAAATATATTTATATAAATATATACAATTTAAAGTATGAGAGCACTCTCATAATAACGTAACACAATCAGAGACTGGATATATCCCCCCCTCTCTCTGTTCGCTGAAATGGGGAATTGAAATTACGGGCCAAAAGTTGTATTTACAAGTAGGCCTATTAAAAGTAAGCAGAGGACACCAAACCAACTGAGTCCCGTCTGTCCGCCGCATTTACGCACTGTACAACACACACCTACACACTGTACCACACACACCTACAGCTCCAAAAGCATAAGCCGTTGTGTATTTTATTATGTGAAGCAATGGTCTTAGAAAAATATCGACTCTTTGTTTGTATATATCTACTAAACTAAAGCAAATAAAGAGAGTAGGCCTGTTATACTGAGTGATATATATTATACACACTGCTCTGCTTTCTGCATGGACCTTACAGCTGTTCTCTCTGGAAACATCGCGACGCGATGAAAGCAGTTTCTAAAATAATATCCAGGGGATGCATGCATAGCTGTCATTGGCTGAGATAAGTCCGGCCGTGCGTCACGCCTCCACCGTTCCCGGAAATGCATCCGTGGAGGAGCCGTGGAGGAACCATCAGTGTATCCTCGGTTATAGCTCCTCCAGAGAGCCTCCTCGACGCTCGATGCTCGGTCCTCGGTGTGCATTTAGAGAAATGAGACGTCCTTCAAAATGGCGCGCTGAAATTCATTTCCGGGTCACTACCGGAGGACCGAGGAGTCGAGGAGGGGAAATTTGAGTATTGAGAAGCCTCTCATGTATGGACTTATACACTCACCCATAATATGTTCTTTACATCATGTGTTCGTACAGCTTTAGTTGTCATGCTGAGACATGAGATTCTAACCCTGCCAGATAAACTTTATAATGTTGTTCTATTTGTATTTGAACTACTTTATTTTTTTTTACCTTATTTATCATAACATCCAAACAGAAGGTTTTTCCACAATTTGCACAATATCAAAATAAGAAGTTATACAAGTTACCCACCATGCATCACTTAACACCAAGCTGTACTGTAAAAGAGAAGAGTGAATACTGGGGGTGTCATATTTTATTAGCCTGTAAACTGTATGATAGACTGTTTAGGGTGTCTCAATCTCTTAGACTGTTAAACAACCCAATGGGCTCACAGTAGACCGAGGGCAATGCGCTGTCAGCCAGGATTTTAAAAAGGAGATGGAAGGATGAAGGCTGGTGGATTGACAGTTATCTGTACACCCGGGACCCTTGTCAAAGGGTTCAGATGACCCCATAAAAATACATTAGATTACATATGGTGTTTTTTATAGATGTCAATTACAAAGTGAAAAGATAACATTTAGAATTGTTAATGGTTTACACTTGTTTCCGTACCTTTTTTAATTAATTTATGAGATATTGATGAAAAAATTATAGTCAAGATTTGAATGTGAAAAACGTGATTTAACGCTGACTGAGTGAGGTGGACAGTTATCCTTACACCCAGGACCCTTGTCAAGGGGTTCAGCCGGTGACCCTATCAAAAATATATTAGATTTGTGTTTTTTTTACAACAAAAACACCATAGATTTCAATTACAAAGTGAACAGATAAAATGTAGAATTGTTGATGGTTTACATTTTCTTTTGTATGTCTTAAATTGATTTCTGAGACGTTGGTGAAAAAATAATTCCTACCAGCTGGCTTGTTACAAAAATTACATTTGTAAGATTTTAATATCAATGCAGAATATTGTTTTTTTTAAGTACCAAAACATGCATACACTTATATATTCTATATACATGTATATTGTTGTGCCAAAAGACATATGTTAAAGAAACGTGACAATACATTCTTATCTGTACTCATATCATTTATCTTACACATGATCAACAGGGGTGTCACACTTTGTAAAACTGGCCCTTGTACCCTGAATAATTTCTCCAGGTGTAAGCACAATCTCTACATGTGTTCCTTCACATCCCGCTTCAAACAGAACATATGTAAAATTATGCAAGGTGTTCTCAGGGCACTGCTGCACAGTGAATATAATGTTAATGTATCTGATGGTGCTCACCGGTTGATATCTAAAAGCCCCATTTTGAAGATTTCTTGATGACGATTCAGTACAGAGAACAATCAAGCCTTTTCAAAAGGTAATTCTAGCTGATTGTCTGATTAACTATGAATATGGTTCTGACTACATAGCCTGTCCTCCTTGAGCCCACCATGCTTCCTGCCCCCTCCTCATCCTCACCATCTCTCCCCCCCCCAGCGCTGTGAACTCTACAGCCTTCGAAGTTCAAGGGGCAATCAGCCCTCCATCAATCACTAATGCAGATGAGAAGAGCAAGCTCTCTGGATCAGCTCAGCCTGTTGAACATCACACGGCACAATTAAAAACCCTGAATGCAAATCATCGTCAGAAGACCACTAAATGAAAAGAGCCTTCCTTTCAATAGTGCTCAATAGTGGCAGGCTTTTCAAAGCCTCTTGCCCATGTATGCAGTTTAATGATGAAAGTCGGTAAGGAGGCTGTGTCAGAGGGATACTGCACCCTGCGTGGCAAGGTTGTTACCATGACATTTAGCAATAATATCAGGCTCATGAGGATGCTGTAACACACTGTTTCAATGTGTTAAAGGTGCTGTTGAGGATTTATGACATTCTTATGAGATATTTCCAAGTAGGCCTGGCCTGCATCCTCCATAACTGTTTTAAAGTTGAACACAATAGGTGAAACTTTGCTAATTAAGAGAAGCACCTGAAGGGACTCTTTGATTTTAGTGTTTTAAGTCTGTTCATTTTTTCTATAAGAGTTTGACCTTGCAGCCTCTGCTGAAGTTTTGGAGCGGGGTAGCATGCCTGTCTCTCTCACAGGACTCTGGCTACGACTACGTAATTAAAAAGTGCTCCACAAGGCCCTAACCTTATTAGTGCAGCCTCGGAGAAATACCTTCTGATGTTCTTAAATACTCCTCGATGGGCTGGGTACGAAAGCTAATTTTAGACGGAGGGGTCTGAATAAATTCTGTGTCAGTGCTCACTGACATTTTGAAAGCTAAGAGTCATTCTTGTTAGGAGTTGCTTTTCTTTCTCTCTTTGGCTGTTTTGTTCTCTTTAGCTCAAGGGTGCAGCATGTTTTCATGCTGACTTGAATCCAGTGAACCTGACATGATGCTGACATGGTTACTGTACAAAACATGTTGGCTGTGTCATCCAGATGTCCGCTCCTGGGTTTCTTAACACTGTGATCTTAAATTGTCCATTTCTTAAAGGAACATTCAATTTCTTTCAGACTAAGAAAGACACTCATGGGGGGTTCAAGCACCTGCACAAGTACAGAGAAGAAAATAATACACAAATCTTCGAAAAACATATATTAACATATTTCAACTTTTTTGAGAAAAGGCAAATTGTTCTTTCTTGACAGGACTAAGATAAATACAAAGATACCCCTGTCAGTTCAGTATGAAGCGAGAGCCAGCTGTTTGTTAGCTTATCTTTAACATAGAGACTGGACGAAGAGGAAAGTAGAACATCTGAAGAGCACTAATTAACATGTTCCAGCTTGTGTGCCATAAAAAAACAAGATGTAAAAGCAGCTATTTGTGTTTTCAAAGGAGGTTATGTGCTGGACTTTTTCTTGGCCAGGGGCATCCTGCAACTTTGTATTTGCTGTGAAGTTGCTAGGCAACCAGCAGAGACTACATAAAGTTAGTGCGACCTGCTGAGAAATAATTCAATACCCTGTAACAACACAATTTGTTGCTTTGACACAGCTTTTATACAGATTAAACCTCCTTTGGACAGAGCCAGACCAGCTGTGAAGCTGTAGGACATCAGTCTCCTGTAGCTTTCATATGACACTCAGCAAAAAATCAAATAAGATAAAATGTGAAATTAAACCTTCAAACTAAATAACAAATATACTCTTACCGAAAAGGCAATATGCCTTTATGTATTTTTTCCAGATACTATGCTCAAATCTGATATTTACATATGATCTGACAGCCCAAAAACATTCATATTAACTGCAGTGCTGTTAATGTCCTCAAAATATACAATATTGCTATATTTGACAGATCTGCAGATATGGTGTGTGTATGTTAGTCAATTGTGTTGAAAATCCATTTTTTGGATCCAATTACGATTCAAAGGACAAAGATGAGTGCTGTGGCCAACACATCTGTTCATTATTCATCAGAATATTAAAGATAATGTAAGTCCTAGCACAATAGACTCTGTCAGAGGCCATCCAGTGTAATCAGGTGTTTAATGAGGGTGAATGCAGGAAGCCTCCTACACAGCTTAGGACACTTAGAAACGGAAAATGTGATCACTCCTGTAGAGAAGACCGCCATGAATCATTCATCGCTCAGGAAGTGCACTGTGTCTACAGTAATTGGTGTGCGTTTGTCTGTGTGGGAGGCCGTGTGCTTGTGTGTATCCGTCATACACTGACATTAATTAAACTTGTTACCTGGTTTCCAGGCAATTGGTGTTCTGTAGTAAGCAATAGGAACCTCACACACTTGTCTACAACACAGACACTATATAGGGGCAATATATAAGGTTATACTGTTATTGTTCTTCTCAGTGCTGTCAAATAATCGCTTGATATGAGCAATAACTCTTTCTATTAAAAGTCCTCTGTTTGGAGTGCACTCCTCCTTGTGTTCTTGTTTTCTACCACTGAGCCCCAGATGCCTCAGCTTGGCTGTTCAGGGATCAGTGCCACCTGTAATCAATAGGTTTTCTGCCCGGGAGGCAGCTGTTGATTGCCACAGACAGGCCAGATGAGAAGATAGAAGCCAATCTAGAGGCGCTGATCCAACTCTCCCATCTGCTCACAGACAGAGGGAGAGCTGCACGAATCACCTTCACAATGTCCTCAGCCTTTGTCCAGTCTGGAGGTGAAGAGGTCTGAACCACTGGCCGGAAAAACAGCAGCCACAAAGGCCATTATCTCTGGCTTTCATCAGTTTTGGGAAATGGTTATGAAATTGGAGTTGCTTGGAGAGACAGGAGGTATTGAATAATTCCTTTTCCGGCTCAATACATTATAAAAACATGCTCTCTTCTCTTTTTCCCAGGCGGCAACCTGCATTTCTGAAAAGTGGAGCCAATGCCTTTAACTTGCTTTTTCTCGAATATCCAACGCATCCGCAGGTTAGAAAAAATCATCCTTCTTTTTTTATTACCTCAGTTAACATTTTACTGACATATTTTAATGAGATTATCATCAATAATTAAATACTTTTTTAGTACAGCACAAGGTTTATTTAGAAAGTTATGGTCCAATTCTTCCATTTGTTGCTCTTGTGCCTTTTTGTGTATTTCCCATTCAGAGGTAAATAGACCATTAAGCAGGCTTTGGGGCCAACATGAAAACCAAGATGGCAATGGCAAATAAAAAGAAAATATCCGGCTCTTAAACTGCTAAATGCTCCATTCAACTGTTTTCCAGTTTGTGGCTAATTTAATTTCTCTATTGATTCTGGACAGGGAGCGTAGGTTGTTAGAGTTTTAACCTGGTAAACAGCTACCTGCCGTCGCTCAAAATCACTGTGATAAGACCTGAGAGAATAAACCAAACCAAAACAATGAACTGCAGGACGTTAAAATGCTCTATACAGATAAAGGGGGGGGACTGAGTTGATCATTCCCTGTTGGTTTGGAATATTTCACATCACAGTACATGTAGTCATTTGACCCAAAGTGCTTTCTTACGCACATCATTTGGACCTTGCATTAAGTGTACTAGATCAAAAGAGAGGAAAGTCCCTGTACGATACATATTTCACAAAACACTGTGAATTTGAATGAGACCGTAATCTTGTTTCCAAGCTCAAAGAATACATTTCTTATCACCTCAGCTCTGTTGATGTTGCTGTTCATTCTTTCAGCCAGTTACTCCCACCTGAGGCAGCAACAACATTGGGTTTTGCGTGAAGTGTTAATAAATGTGACAGGCCCTCAGCTGTCAGGGGACGCGGTGTGATTCAAACAAGTACAATAATGCGGCTGGTCACCTTTTTATTACCTCTGGGCGCGGGGACGGGCTCACGCTGAAGCCTGCCGCCGTGATATTACCTTGATGATATTGGATTATAATTCAAATCTATTCAGCATTCAGATTGTCTCAAACACAGGAGACTTTCATCAGATTTACAAGGAGGGCATTTTGTTGGAATAAGCTTCAAAGAGCATTGCACTCTTCTAATGATGAATGTAGCAACAAAGAAAGAATATTGTCTAAATCTCAGAATGTGTTGATTAGTCAACATTTTAAATCCAGCCTGGATTTGTGAGCTCTCAGATATTTTCTGCCAAAAAAAAAGAATCTTACCACAATTTATTCAAACTAAATAATTGTACTGGATTAAAAAAAACCTTGTTTGTAGAGTCCCTTGATAATTAACACACATGTTATTAAACAAATATTTTGTTCGTGCACAATTTAATAATTCATTTAGGCAAATAGAAGACATTTCTAATAGTGTTAGCTTTTTTCAACTCTAGCCTAGCCCAATGGTAATATTGTTTTTATACAATTTATTTTCAAAATGACTGTTATACATGTTGTCGTACTTAAATAATACACCACAGTGACGAGGCTTTCAGCGTTAATGCTGTTGGCCCTGCTCTGTGTTCAGTCTCCATTTCTCACTGTGGCTTTGTTTCTTGCATATTCCTCCAAGGCTGCTAGGTTCATTAAGTTGCCTGCAGGACGCTGTTGAATGCATGCATTTAGTAACAGCATGACCTCTGTGTCTAATCTCAATTTAGAGAAGCATCCTGTGAAAATATGAGGCAGTGATCTTGGGCAGCCTCTGACAGACGTTACTGTCGAGGAGGAAGAAAATTCACTCTGGGAAATGAGTCTTCCTCCCACCCGAGATCAGATATGTTGATTTTTCCGAGGGTAATAAACACTCCCGCAGCTCCATCTCACTCCCACACAGCCAAATTAGCTGTCACCGAGCACATTAATCTGTCACCTATTGAGGTTCCTCTCAGACATGTTCCGAGCATATAGATCTGTGAATCTCGCTGCTGAAAAGGCTATTTTTAAATAGATGCAATGTATGGAGGAAAGAAGGATGTCTTTCTGCCCACATAGCTGACTGGGTAGAAGGGTAAATACAAGGATGAAATGTCATTTGATGTGCACTATAGGCCCTTTTCAGTCTGCATATGCTGCCCTTTGGCAGTGTCAGACATTGCAACAATTTTCACAGTTACACTGAACGCACTCAGCTCTGCATAGCTGTGTCTCCTGGTGACATAAGCCCTTTTGATGCCCTCCATAAGTGTTTCTTAGACATGATTTCTTAGAAGCCTCAGGATGTATTTTTGTTGAACCAGGACAAATCAGAGATACAGTATTCATTAATGAAGCACAACCACAAAGAGAGAAGCTAATTCATGTCCCTGGCACTAACATTGAATAGTACTGATGCTGTACATTATGTTTGTTTAATTACAATGTTCATTATAGCGCAGACCAGTAGCATTATGATCCAAACAGTGATGTAATGCATAAGAGATGTGTTGCTTGAGTTTACTTCACGTGAATAGTGCGTCGTTAATAGCATTTGTTTTAGTAGGCAATATGTACTAGAAACACATTGAGTATGTACTATAGTACAGTATGTTAGTATACAGTATGCTAGTATGGGATTTCAAACACAACCTTGGTTTCCCATGTGACTTTGCAACCAACTGCAGAACAACAACATCTCCCCTCACCATTACACAACACACCTTCAGTGCGAGTGCTTGAAGTTGATTTGCTCCCTGCGAGCGAAGATGAAGTGCACCTCATTGTGCATACTAATGGCCCACATAAGGACTTCAAAATGACAGAATGGCCATGTTTTGGAGATGACAATTGAAAGTTAAAATGTTTTTTCTGATACTTCTCTCCCATCATAGAGATGATAATTATGGTGATGTATTAGCTCAAATGGTAAACATAGTTAATTTACTCTCCGGTGAGAGAAAATGATGCTTTCCTGGCTGCAGCGTTGGATGTTTATGTTCAAATGGAAGGTTATTTGCTCTGAAATAGCTGAAGAAATGGTGCTATTTCTCTCCTCATGATGTAAACTCACAGTCAGTGGCACTGAGATGTTTACGGTCGTCTCAGGACTGGAGGTAAAACAGAAGGCACTCTGCTGTTGCTCAGTCCTCATCTGTTGTAACATCACCCTATCAGGCAAATGATCAGCAGTGCACACACAGCAATCAGAGCCAGTTTTTACACTTGGTTTGCCCCCCGCTGAAGTTCACAGACATCTACAAGCAGCACTAACCCTGTTGACAGCGAGATAGCTAGCTGATGTTTTCCCTGCACGTGGCGCATGGTTTTTCTAATGACTGTGTTCAGCAGAGTGAGGGAGCCACACAACACAACACATCACCAAGGAGGCGTATTCAGGGGAGTGACTAAGTGTCTCTGTCACTGATTCAGAGCATTTTTATTTATTTAAACGGCAGCACTTATTTAATCACTTCACACTCTGTGTCATATTAACACTTTTTAATTAAAGAAAGAGTTCCTAAGTATGCAAATCTGACAAAGCATTAATCACACACTTTGGTCTCTTTAATTACTTTTTTAAAATATTTAAATTACTTATTTAAACAACTTGTGAAAAAAATAGCTTGTTATCAACAGCAGTGGGTGATTATAAGATAATAAAGTAAGAACGCCTAGGACATCACTCCAATTGGATTTTTTGTCATCCATTTTTTATTTGATTTTGTGGTTTTAGTGATGCCAATTTCAGTCTTGGTGGGTCAGTATTTTAGCTATGTATTGTATGTATTAGAACAGAACAAACGTCTCTTAAGTTTGTTTTAACTAAATATGTTTTTACAGGCATCTCACCGAAAACCCCAAACCACCCAATTCATTTCCGAGTTTTAGGACTATTTCCTACAGCTCTCGAACACAGCATACAACCTCACCTTAAGGACCGTTTATTAGTTATTGTTGAAGTAACTAAAGTCAACTCAAATAAGGACTGTATGAGTTCTAAAATTGAACTATGTGACATAAATCACTTCTCTTATTCATCTCTGAGGTTATTCTCCTCCTAGAAAGAAAACTCAATATGACCGCCCTCCTCCTGTGACTTTATTGCGTGAGCTGCTGGTCGTTCATCTTAAGAGCAGGTGGGAAAAGGTTGAATCCTTTGTGCTGACGGCTAGGCTTGTGTCAGGCTGAAGACACTGATCTGATAACGTCCTCATTAGACGGCCTCCGGCCAATGGAAACCACGACTGGGGGAAGGAGGTGGGCTCTGCTGGTGACTGTGGGCGCCTCGGGGCCTTCAGGGTCCAGATGAGCCCAGGATGTCAGCTCCTCTGGGCTCCATCCGTCACAGCCTATCTGTAAGAGAGAGGAAGGAACAAAGTTTAAAGGCTGCTGGTGCTGAAGGATGACTTTGATTTGTAATTTTTTTTGTCAATATGACCAATTGAGGGAAATACATCTTGAATGTTAAGAGCCAACAGCTGTATGTATTGTTCTTTTTATAAAATCCTCTTTTTATTACATGAATATCACTACCCCCTCTCCTTCGTATCGTCTTATACAGCATCTGAAACCCGACAGGAAACAACAACAGCACATCTGGTGCTTCAGCTTCGAGTACAGTCAGTAAAATATCCACATAAAAAGTTTCACTGGGGCAATAACCCTGCTCCTGTATATGCTACAACTCCTTGTGTTCTGTCTGGTGAGGCTGCTTTGTTCCTCCATGTGACGGAGATCAGTTTATAGCCTCAGTGTGAAGCTGTGGAGGAAGAGAGATCACTCCCACCTCTGACGGATGGGGCTCTGAATTTATATCTGCTATCAGCAAAGTCAGCATGAAGAGATGCCCCTTGAGTCTGCATACAAACATGTTTGAAGCTCCAGTAAACACTGCCACTCTAGAATAGAATAGAACAGAAAGAGCAGGAGAAAAAAGGTTAGCATTTTTTGAGGGATAAACAAAACTATAGTCTTTTTTTTCCTTTGTTTGTATTCTCTTTTGAAACATAAAGGCACATATCCATCCGACGAACAATGAAAATGTGTGTCATCAGCAATGTGAAATATAAATAAAAAAACTGAGGGTACTTACATCACCCACGTATAGAAATCTATCCATAAGTCACAACTTCTCTTCATTACCCTTTGACATACAGATCTATACCATCCACGTGTATATTCTCCTTAAGCCTAAACATATATACATATTTACCTTAGTCATCTGCTTATATCGACTCTTCTCCCTACATATATTTTTACCTTCTCCTCCCTTTTCAAACTTTCTTATAAATAAGATTAATCATAATAAAATGAAGAAGAGGGGAAAAGGTAATCAAAACAAAAAGGTAAATCACAACAAATATAATAATATAAGCACTTATATACTAATAAAGGGCTGGCTTATCTAAAGCCAGTTGAGTAGCACTTGAAATGTTTTTGCTCTATGAAACCTGATGTACTTATATGATTCTGTTTTCTTCAAGTTGTATTTTGTTGGACGAACGCACTTATTGTAAGTCGCTTTGGATAAAAGCGTCAGCTAAATGTAATGTAATGTAATGTAATACCAGGAATTATTGAATAAGTGAATAAACTAAGCGTTCAGAAAAATGTCCTATTCTCCCTTTCAATTTGACCATTCCCTCTGTATATCTGCTGTATAATGTACATTCTTACTCCTGACGGAATGGAGATTCCAATACTGTTTCCAGTATAACAAGTAAAAAAAATGACAGAACTATACAGTCTTGAATTCTTTTTTACTTGTTCTAATATACGGTAAAGAGTGGGGCTATGCATAATCTGAATTGTCATAGTCATAGTATTTAAAAAGCGGCCACCAGAATACATGAAGTTGTTGTTCCACAGTATGTGTCTTCTTACAATTCACATGTGAATTATCTGAAAATCACATGAACCTCATGTAAAATCCCTAATGTCTGCAAACCAAATATGCCCTTATGTAACCGTGGAATAATGTTTCACATGTGATCAATCGACGAAGAGGGACAGAACCTTGAAAACTGTCTCTTCACAAGGTCATACTTTATAGCTTTTCTGGAGCTTTTGATTATATCACATTTGAAAAGCTGTCATTGAATGAAACGGCAATTGAGTTTTTCAACATGTCATGGAATTGTAGATGTTTACATTTAATTTTTTTCTAAGCATTAAGAAATGATTGTCCTGTTTTAGTTTATTACATTTATTTTTTATTTAATCCTAATGTAACCATATAAAACCAATTGGGATCAAATCTATTTCATGCTTATATAATAAACAAGTTAATAAAGTCATAATTTGTGAAAAAGCAATCACATACATACAAAAAATACTTAGAAAATCCTACAAATGGAAGAGTCATGAACACAACATGTACACACAAACTACAATACATGACAAAATCAGCACTCATTTTAGCAAGAACACAAAACACTGGACAGAGAAGTAAGGGAGTCTATCGTGCGGATCATTCCCAAACCAAAGTCCATAATAAAATAGACTCCTTGTCGTTACACATAATTGAGTGTAAGCTAAGTATCAACTAAGGGCCAAAAGAGCAACACCCTATGTATGGTTTGATCATATGTGTACATATGATCAATACATAAAGGTTATTTTCCAGTGGGTGTATACAGTTTAACAGGATGATTTTTAGCAGCAGAGTTAGAGGTAAAGACTCTTCTTGAAAGAGAGAAAGAATGGTAGGCAGACGTTCCTCGAGTGAAATACGAGGTGAAAAGAGGGTAAACTACTGCACAGTGCATCTGAAAGGATGATTGAATGTTTGGCACCTTGTGTGACCTTTTCTCTTTCAATGCTTCTGCCTCTGCTGATGTTATTTCCTCATCACACACAACCGAGGCAATCTGATCATCTCTCACTGACACTGTCATGTCACTCTTATGGGAGATTAGAGCATATGGGCAGGATTAGCAACAGAGAGCCTATACGTCTGTTGATCGGGGATCCTGATCGTTTTACAATCCTCTGCCTTTAAGGATTCCCTTGTACAATAAAGGCTTGTGAGAAGACAGATAGCCAGTTCTTCATCGGCCATCTGCCATTTCCTGCTGCATCAGCACCTTACACGCTACGTTCAAAGTGATCTGTTTCTTACGGATTTCAGTGACACTACAGTACATGCCATAATGTCTTTAAGCAAACAGTAGCATAGACCAAACAGCCTTTGTGGTATGTTTTCTGTCATCGTCTTGTCTCTCAAGCATTATTCTGGCAAAGAAACAAAAAAGGCTGAGAAGGAAACCATGTAGTGAGTCACGCAGCAGGAGATGAAGCTCCCATGGGGCTCGCCTCGCCAGCTGGTTTTAAAGGCAGGTGTTTCCAAGACACATCTCGAGACGTTTCAAGTATTTCCTTTATTTTCAAGGCAAGCACAAAAAATGTGTTGATAATTTAAACATGACATTTTGTCTATTTTGGTCCCTACACAGGTTTCAGCGTATGAAATATGTCAGTGAGTCAGTATGTCGATCATGTAGCCTAACCCTGATGAAATGTTGTTCCCAAAGCTTTTGCTGGCACACCATTGTGTAATCCCGGGAGCTTGTAAAGCTAATACTTTGGCAAATTTTGAAAGCCTGTCATTGAAGGTAAAGAGCATATAAAGGAAATGAGGCAGGGCTACGGGAATTAAATTCAGTGATGTGGCGGATGACTGCTTTTGGTTTAGTTTAAAAGTCAGACTGGTGTAACAAAAAAAACACTTCTCAGTTGTTTTCCACTAGTTTTCACTCTTGATGTACAGTATTTGGACTTGTGATTTTTTGCATATATTCAATAGTAGTTTAACGAATCTCAAAAAATGTACAAACTTCACTTTTTCAATCAATCAATGTTTATTTATAAAGACCAATATCACAAATGTTACTTTTGTCTCAGTTGACTTTACAGTTTTTTTCCGTCAATAAACACAAGTTAAATGTAAACTACTTGTTATGAATATGATATTAAATGAAAATAAAAATAAATGCAGTTTTATAAGCCAAAAAGTACATTTTTACAAGTGGATGATTTCGTTCATATTTTATCCTGTTGAGGAGTATTCCTGTCAGCCATACAATGTGGTAGATATGTCTGCACATATCTTTGCATCTTAAACATTCACATCCGAGAGCGTGGGGCTCTGTCAGAGAAACCGTTGCACTGTGCACTTCTTTGTTTCCCCTGGGTTTCCCAGCACCGCACTGACATGCCTCATAGTTATTCCTGCTCGCTCATTCATGCAAACTCTCTCCTCCTCCTCCTCACTCTCATGCCTTACACATCTTCCAATATTCCTCTCTCTCTCTTTGCCTCCATCCCTTTGCTCACTTTCCTGCTTCCCATCCCCTCTTAGCAGGAGCCATTCATGCGTAGCTGGTACATCGGAGGCTATCCTATGTGCCGCGCCCGATGCTTACAGGCTGCTCTCAGATCTCTGTCTAACCCCTAAGCAACGGCACAGATTAAATACTTAACTTGATTCATTTTTTTCTCTCTCCCTCCCTTCCTCCCATCCTTGTCTGGCATTAAAAATTCATCCACTCTGTGTTGTGTTAAAAGCACATTACGCAAGACTCTAAATATACCCCCTCCCAGGCAGGAACCGTTTGTCCCTCACTGCCTTCCTCTGTTTGTGTTTATGCATACATTGTACTTGTGTGTATGTGTATGTGTGAGCTGAGAGCTTTTTCATGGCCCTGATGCTGCATCTGTGATTTCTATCATTGTCCCAGGAGGACAGTGCTCAGGAAGTCCCTCAGGTGGAAACGGGGCGATACAGCAGCCTGACAAACAGGTTGGGTCAAGTAAGCATCTCTCAAATCATCTCCATGCCTCTTTGGTGTTAAAGCAGATTCACTTGCTTCCATTTTTCCCTGATGATGATGAAACTGGTTTGCCATATTGAAAAGTGCTTTCACCTTTTCACCTGTGCAGAGGTGGTAATTGCTGAAAAGTTTGACCCATCGCTCTGAAGGCCGATAATCGTAGAGATGGGCGTTCGGAGAAGAAGAGAGTGGTGCTGTGTGCATCAGTCCGCCCCAGGCTGGTCTGCCTGTCTGCCTCCAGCAACACAAGCTGACAGTCGAATCGTTTGATGCTGCCTCCTGGATGAACAGCTGCTGTGATTGGCTGCCATTACAAACTGTACACCATCAGTGACAATGGCATTGAAATTGCAAGAAGAGATGTTTTGTCAACCATCTTTTAAAACACTACATCTGCCAAACAGCAATATAAGCTCATTGTCTGAATGGAAATGGTTGTTTGTAATGTCTTTAATTTGTCTTCTGTGTTGTTTAGATGCTCACACATGTTTAAGTATCAGTCTAATTGCTTTAACTAGACCTGCTTGGCTGTAAAGCAATTTTCATTTGCACTTAATTGTTCGGTAAAATTTACATCTTTAGTCCCTTTTCATTTAGTTCATTTAATTTTAAGTCCATAATATTGGGCGTCATTCCTCATGTATTCAGTATGTTTAATCCCCTCTATTGGATACTGTGGATAATATATGTGTAACTAAAAAGTGTGGAGAATCCAGTATAAGCAGTAAAATGCTGCAGAGCTTCCACACACACACACACACACACACACACACACACACAATGTATACATCACTTTAGGGGACATTACATTGACTTACATGCATTTCCTGGAGTCTTATCCTAACCTTAACCATAACCAACACATGCCTAACACTAACCCTAACCCTTAACCTTACCCTAACCCTAAACCTAACCAAGTCTTCACCCTAAAATTAATGATTCCCCTCATGGGGACCTCCAATTTGTCCCCATAAGGGAGGCGAGTCCCCACACGTGACTGTGTAAACAGATTTAGGTCCCCACAAGTATAGTAATGCTAGGACACACACACACACACACACACACACACTTCAACTCACAGTCCTCTGGCGCTGAGAACAGCTCCTGTAGATGTTGGGGTGCTTGAGTTCAGTAGATCTAACCAAGATGAATATCACAAGGCTGGCTTTGACAGAATAAGGTTTTTTTCTGTTCCTCCAACCCCATCCACATATGCCACGCGTCTCTCTGTGGACAACATGTGCCAGCTCTTCCTGCCAGTCTCCACTGATGTGCAGCATACTTAACTCCATCACGATTGTCAGCACAACATCTGCAATCTACAACTTCCTCCCATGGTGTTCACCCTCTGTGTATGTATTTATTTATTTTTGTCATTTCTTGGCACCTGCCGTCCCCATCTGTACCAGGTGTGTGTGTGTGTGTGCAAGAGTTTGACACTGAGCACAAACAGCGACTATAAATTGTCACCATCATATCTGAGATACAGGATCAGATTATTCAATAATGTTAGACTGAAGCACTCTTTTGAGCTGCAGTCAATCCTAAAATATAAATGTGGTGTTTGTTCCCAGATCAAACGTAGGTTGGAAGTTTTTGACAAATTGTCTTCAGTGGTTGAAATGTTATTACGAATGTCTGTTCCACTGTTTATCATTTTAAATGTCCTCATTCATGTTGCAAATAATGCTGCTGTGATACAATAAAAATGTCCAACTCACAATAAAGTATTATCATATCATATTGTATTATACAATTTAGCGCCATTGAGGAGCAGAAATAAATACATTTTCACTGCACAAATACTTCCTCTGCTCTTAGATAAAGTCCACCACACCTTCAAATGAATGAAGTCGTGAGAAAATATGAAAGTATACGCTGGAGTGCAATTCCAAGAGCATCTATTAGCTGGAGGACGATACACTGTAGAGAAACATCTGGTCCCTCATGGCCAATTCGTCTGTTGTGCACGTGGCGTATCCAGTGTCCCCTTCCTCGCTCTCCTGTCTGAGTGACAGTAGTTTGCTGCACGTTGGTCTGTTCTCTCTTCCCATGGGTCTAATTTGTGCAAGCTGCTTTTGAATTGTTGCAAAGAAGATGCAGGAACAAAGCCAGCTGAGGGGGCTGGGGCGTGTGGGACCTTCTGTTCCTCGGTGCCTTTAGTTCTGATGCCAATTCATCTGCATTCTTCTGTTCATCCCTCCAGTCCCTTCTCTTTCACCTCTAACTCTTAGCCTTGTGATTGTACTTGTTGGTGATATTATGAATAACCTGAGTGGGGTGAAGAGGTGAGTGGGGTAAACTTGGGTGCATGACTTTTGTGCAACTCAAACATATTATGCAACAGGGAACCACTGCATGAGTCATTCATAACAATTAGATTAGTTTGCAGATGCTGTGCTTGAATTAATTTGCATACAGCTTTATCACAGAACATAACATTATTGTGCCTGCTTCCCCCGTCAATGTTAACCCGCATTTGCAGCAGCTGCTAATGATATCCTTCAAAGACTCCCAGAAAGTCGTGACTCAGAGATTCTGTTCCTTAAGGCTGAGCCCTGCTTATAAAGCACGACTATCATACTGTAGTTACTTTCTCTACAGGGGACAGGATGAATCCGCAGTATTCGAACTCTGCAGGAAAGAAAGTTAAGGGAATGAGCTGAGACCTTCAAAGTGTTGGTTTCAGTCAGACAACCTGTCTGTTTGACAAGTGAAGATTAGTCACCTGCAACTTTCAAAGCGGCAGGGTGCACTTCTTCAATAACAATGCGTCGTTCTTTCGCCCAAGGACAACTCAGGTCGCCTTTTATATGTATCCTTATTCACCTGGATCCCCTATGGCAAGAGAGGGGAACTCATTTCCTGACACTTAAAGGTGGGGTATGTAATTTATTTCAGAAACACTTTTTGTTATATTCCATGGCATGCTCTTAACATCCCGATAGCAATGAATATATTTAATGCTTTGACAATAAATACAAAAATGTAACCTGTGGAAGCCGTAGTACTGTAAAAAGCACGACCAATCATTTTTGCCGGCCCGGCTAAAATAACTGGATGGCCTACCTGCCTGTCAGCTTTCCATCTGTGCACAAACTGATCTCGTGCCCTCATTGGTCATGTGCGCGTTCGTGTGTGTTGGAGGAGGGGCTCTGTAAGGAAGTGGCAGATTTCTTCCGGTTGTGTATTTTCAAATTCTAGCGCACTCGAGCTGGTTTCTCCAAAATTACCTACCCCACCTTTAAACTATAATGACATGCCAATTTACAAGTTTCGTAGAGAGGGATTAGGAAGGTTACAGCATGCAAACTGTAGCCGTGACAGTGCTCGGCATCAGGAGTATGGGTACATCACCGAGAGCTGTATAACTGGTTTTTATATGTATAATATTTTTGAAGTTCAAAAGTTGAGTAAGAAGAAATCTTTGACAGTTTCTTTGGCCTACATAAGGAAAAGGGGTGATTTCAGTTCAATTCTAATATAAAGTTAAATAGTCACAAAGGGCAAAATCTTTCCCTAACCTAAACCAAGAGCTTTTTGAGTTTAAACATAACCAGGGAGAAATAAAATGTCTCTACATTTATGCAGGGAAATTGAAAATTCGAATACAAATTAGACGTATATTTGGAGTAAAAGAAACAAAGGCAAACCTTGAAATATTACCCAAACTGGATAGAAAGCTCCATCACTGTTTGCAGTTTGACCTGGTTTACCTCGACCTACTGTACGCTAGCTTTGCACTGACATAGTTTTACAGTGAAACGACAGATTAATAGACACTATGGGTGTGTTCATTTTTTGTTTTACTTCCAAATACAGTGGTTTAGATAATCTGGTAATCCGGCTAAAGAGTTGGCTCGTTTACAAAATGTCTGGTCGCTCATGCACATCAAACTTTCTGAACATTAAAGCAAATCTCAGCAATTACCTTGGTGAATATATAATCATCCAAACAGATGTCTATAAACTATAACTATTCTTTAATTTTTTCACAAAATAAAGAATAACTGCATCACACAATAACGTGTTTCATTGTCTCTGACTTGCAGTATAAAAGCTGTTACACAAAATAACCTCAAATCATATTAAATGTACAATATAGGCCAACATACATGTCAAGATTACAGAGGCTAAACTGTAAGGTATAATTACTTCTATTTCTACAAGCTACAGTAATAGGAATGTAAATGCAAGGCCGAGCAATGCTGGGAGGTTTAAAACAACATCTGTAATGATCCATGATGGAGAACAATGGAGCATAAATCAAAGAGACGTTCAGCTAAAGACGACGGGAAATTAAATTGGGAGATGGAGTGTGGGAGTAAACTGGGGAAAAGTTGTTATCAAATTTCACCATGCATGCAGAGCCATTGACAATAACAACAGAATTCCTGCTGTGACGCTGAAATATTCCTCTCTGAGAGGGTCACGCCCTGTCTTTTGATTTAAAAATGCATCATGTTTCTGGTATAATGTGAAGTAATTAGGTTGGTTTGTGTGTCACATGATTTATCCTCTAATTTATTTAACAGCCTTTGAAATAGATGCCTTACTTTTTAAATGATACAAAGTTATTTTATTAAAGGTACAATAGGAAAGTGGGGAGAGTGACAGTTTTTATACATCCATCGCTTCTGCACAGCTTCCCATTCCTGGTTGTTTTTATTTACTTGCATATTTGCAGCTTCAGCTTGTGTTGAATGAACAATGGCCCCACGAGCGTTGCGTGTTCTACACAATAAGCAGAGGCAACGCTTGATGTCATCCACAAAACAAAATGTTCTTAGAGGAAAAAATATCCTCACTGCCGTCCCTGGGAAATAGGATGAGATTTGTGTGCATAAAAATACATCTCCTAGGGCAATTCACCAGGCCTTATCTGAGAAATTACATAACACACCTGCTTGTGGAGAATGACTTAAATTGGTTTAAATTAAGGGAGGCAAATTAAGGAAACTAAAACAGGAAGAAGGCATTTTCTCTCGTCTGACAGGCTTGGGCCGTGTGAGGCTGCAGAGAGAAAACACTCTTGAGACATTCGAGAGAAATCGACTGAAACAGCTTAGTCTTCATTTAGTGTGCACTTTCTTTCAGCCAGAGGCAATTCCAAGTCAATATCTGCTGCTTAACATTATTGCTCCACAGTGACCTTTGCAACATGCATTCATGCAGCTTTAGACGGTGAGCGTGATGGAAATGCAGACCGGTGCTTTGACAGGATGGATCCGAGCCATGAGGAAGATGATGGGTGATTATTATACAGAGGGAGAAGGATGACAGCAGGCCCCAGACGCGCACCAGACAGCTCCTGACTTAGCGTTTTGTCAGTTTGAAATGACACACCACCAACATGTCTGTGTGTTTGTGTGTGCATGTGTAGATGTGACGGTGAGTAAAACCTTGTGTCCCGTCATTTTGAATTTCAATCCAATTACACCATATTAAATCAAATGATTTGTGTGCCTGTCTGTCTTTGCCACAGACACAGCAGAGCATGCAACCACAGAAAGTTCGACAACTTTGACAACCGTGAAACAGATTCAGACGTGCTGATAAGCACAGAGCAGCATGAAGGTGTTGTACCTGGGAAGGTTTTGGCTGCCGGCTAAAGAAACTAGAATCAAGATAAGAGAATTCTCTTTAAAAAATGTTTGCACTAGAGCTAGAAGCTGTTGCTAATTACAGCGCAAATGGAAACCAAGCTGAAATATATATATTTTTTGTTCAGCCAAATCATTTAAAGGTGGGGTAGGTAAGTTTGAGAAACCGG